ATCTGGTTGGTTTTCTATTGGATATTAATACTGATGACTGAAGGGTTCTTTTTCTCCCCTAGAAGACGAAAGCTCCTTAAAAAGTGATACTTGAAAATTGAAAGGGCTTGGAATCTCAGGTGATTTCACCCGGCTTCCATGTTGCTTAACAATTAGACAAGAACACTTTAGATAATGCAATATTGCATTATTTATCCCCACCCCCTCTGTTTTTCCACACCTTGTGAGCTGCCTACCTGTATTAAAACTCCACAGCCATCAGTCATCCGTCAGTCACAGTTGAAGAACAGTACATGCTTCTTTCAACATTATTTCTGTGAGTATTCCTTTAACTTTGCATTTATAAAACTAAATATTCTGTTTTAAAAAGTTAGTTAAAGATAAATTTCAACAACTGCTTTGTCTCGCCAACTAGCTCACAAGCTTAACTGGACACATTTTAGCCAGACAGAGTACAAAAAGGCGGCATTTAACTGGCTTTCTCTTCTAATTTGGATTTAGCTAATATAAATATTTGATTAAATATTATTAGGATTTGAAGCATTAAAGTTGTGTTTTAAGTCAGGCAAAGGCAATTCATGTGCCAACTTTGTACCATTTAAGTCAAATCAGACCTGACCTGATTTTCAATGGGATAAAAAAACATAAAAGTAAGCTTATATCAAAGCAAATGCTTCACTAGCAACACAGATATGTAACTAGCAATGAAGTGAATTAAAAGATAAGAGAAGAAGTTGGCTGAAAATGCTTGCCAAACAAGTTTGTCTTCTGCGTCTTAAAGCTCAAACCTATATTTACGGAACAGGTGTTGGAACAATACCTTGGGTGGCTACTGGGCATCATTCCCTTTCCACTCCCTAAATGTTTCCATTGAACAGGTGCTAAGTTTTGATTATTCTACTGGCTTTTGTCACCAAATGTTGCGACTAAGTAAAAGTTTAACCTACCTGTAAAATGATCTGTGTGCCTCGAGTTGGGAACAGCACTAGTAAGATTGCCTTTTATTTGTTGTGTTTTTATTTTCATGCTTGAGGTTATTTAGACCACATTTATTTTGTGGAAACACACATTAATCTCTAATTATAAATTCTACATTTATTTAAATGAATATATTTTTTCAACTGCATATTCATTCTTTTTTTCTGTTTCAATTTATTCACATAGCAACACAATGTGAAGCTAACTCTATCTGCAGGTAAGACATCCTGGTCAAGTATAAGTGTCTTTGAATGTTTGATTAAACTACATCTCCAAAAGTGTTAAATGGACATGTGTATTGTCTCATGCAGGTAGTTTCTGTTAGGTAACCCCAAGTTATTTTCACTGAGAGGAATTTGTATTCATTTTACCTCAAATGTACTGACAAATATCAGAAATGTCAGAAAACTTGAATTAATTAACTTGAAACAGTAAACTAGAACTTTTACCTGTAAAGCATGAATTATTATGTCAGAAAGCCTGTTTGTATTGGTTGTTTTTTTTATTTTATTAAACTGTATACAAACACATGTGTTCTTTTGAAGGTCTCTGTTTGATCCTTGCCAGCTTGGGTAAGTTCATCACACAAATTGATCACAGTCATCACCTTTATAGCTGTATAGAACTATCTGTCTAGAAGAAATATAATATCCTTAAGTAAACAGATGTATGGAAGTAAGGACATTGAAATATTTGATCTATACAATAAATAATTAAAATAATCATGGTTTTTCTTTCATGTCTATAGCTTCTACCTCCAGGCTGATGTGTTACTATAACAGCAAGGCAGCAGACAGACCAGCTGTGGGGAAGTTCAGAGTTTCAGATATTGATCCAGACAAATGCACCCATCTGATTTTTGGCTTTTCTGACATAATTGAAAATGAGCTGGTTCCCACAACTGTAAATGATGTTCAGCAGTACTTTGGGTTTAACGCACTCAAACAAAGGTCAGTCTTTAAGTCTATAAATACTGTGGAGATTACATTGTAATACAAGGTATTTGTTTTGCAAAAAAAAAATCATCATTTAAATGTTATGCTCCTGTAGAAATCCACTTCTGAAAACCCTGTTGGCTGTTGGTGGAGAGAAGTTTGGGACAGAAAAGTAAGTTACCTTCAAGGACATTAAGGCTTGTTTGGAAGGACACATATTACTAACGAACTGTTGTAATCCTCTGACGTCCAAATTGGCCTTGCCTTTTGTTGTACTGCTTCAGCACTTTGTGTAAAAACAAGCAAATTTACATTCGTTTTTAAGAGTTGGGAACTCTTGTTTTTTGCTTTAAATTCATTAAAATTGAATGCAACCCAGCTGACCCCTACAGCCAAATAATGAAAAAACAAAGTTTGTAATTCACTGAATCTTGTGCAATATGTATTTCAGACACTCAGGTCAGTGACTACACATTATAATTATGGGGATTATTTTGCCACTTTTTTTGGCAGCATTTATTATATATAGGCTATGGAAAGCATGGTTGATAATACATTGGATCCACACTAAATATTGGTTTACACCTTATCTCATGTTTTGATTGCCTTCATTGAATAGCTGGAGCGTGAGTCTAAAGACCAAGTTGTGTTTATATTTTTATTTTTGTATGCTTACCAGATTCAGGACAATGGCGGGATCACAAAAGAACAGAGAAGTGTTCATCCAGTCTGTAATCAGACTACTCAGAGCATTCAATTTTGATGGGCTAGACGTAGACTGGAGGTACCCAGCTGAAGAGGACAAGCAGAGATTCACAGAGCTTTGCAAGGTCAGATCCTTAATATCTCCTCTGGAACCGGCATTTTCAGAAAAAAGCCATACTGCAAATGCCATGCATGAAATTATAAGTCATTTAACTGAGACTGAGAACCATGCTTCTGTGTTGTATAGGAGCTGGAAACAGCCTTTGTCGATGAAGGAACTTCGACTCTCTGCTGAGAGGTCAACCATCGATGCTAGCTATGAAGTGGAAGAAATTGCCATGTAAAATATTTTTTAATAAATCTCTGCCATAATAACAATAAAAAGCTTCTGTTCTGTTTTAGTAAAGGTGATTTCCTCTTAATTTATCAGGCACCTGGATTTCATCAACGTGTTGACGTTTGACTTCCACGGCCCCTGGGAAAGTGTGACAGCACATCACAGCCCCTTATTCCAGGGATCCCAAGACACTGGAGATGCGATCTACTCTAACACTGTAAGCAAGGGTTTATTTTTTCATACAGCTTTATATTCAAACATGTACCTGTATCCTATTTGTTTTGATCATTGGTCTTCCCTTCTTAGGCCTTGCCTTAGAGTACTGGCGGGACCAGGGAGCACCTGAAGAAAAACTGAACATGGGGCTTGGAGCTTTTGGACGAGCTTTTTCCCTGTCCTCTAATTCAAGCGCTGTCGGTGCACCAGCCAGTGGTCCTGGTGAGGAAGGCTGCTACACCGGTGAAGAAGGATTCTGGGCCTCTTATGAGGTATTACTGCACGGTTTCAATATTACCCATTTATATCAATGGCCTTATTATTAGCTAACAGTTTTGGCTGTATTTTGTCTGCCAGATATATATCCTTGTAATTATAATTACTTTTATTAGATCTAAATACCAAATCTGACCCTTCTTTTCAGACTTGCCTTTATCTAGATGGGGTACAAACCCATCTTATTTCTGATCAGAAAGTTCCATATGCCACAACAGAAAATCAGTGGGTTGGATTTGACGACACCACCAGTATAAGTACCAAGGTAAGCATCTGTCTTTAACACAGTATTACTTTTTAGTGGCTGCAAATGACTGATTTCACTGATGTACAAAATTCTGTTACATTGATTTTTTTATACAGACTGTTGAAATGTTGTCTTTCTCATCCTCTCAGATCAATTACCTCAAAGCAAACGAATTCGGAGGGGCCTTTGTCTGGTCTCTGGACCTGGATGACTTCAGAGGAGAGTTCTGTAACCGGGGCAAGTGCCCATTCGTTAGCCAACTACATAATCTGCTAGTATCAGGTAAATCAATCATCAAAATATGTCCTTTTTTATGAGGTAAAGGTTTCACCATTTATTTAATTAAATACCATTAGCAATGCAACATTCTAAAAGCCACTGTTTTATACTTCTATAACTTTAATATTTAGAACATATCTAATTCAGATTGAAGGAATCTCAAAAGTCATGCTCTGTCAAATTAAAATATGATGATCAAGCCAGGGTTAAGATCAATAAAAACAATATCTGACTGTCTTTCTTTCAGGTTTCCCTGAATCACCTACCACATCTCCCCCTACAACAACCACAGCTGCCCCTACTGCAACCACAGCTGCCCCTACTGCAACCACAGCTGCCCCTACTGCAATCACAGCTGCCCCTACTCGACCACAGCTGCCCCGACTACAACCACAGCTGCCCCTACTGCAACCACAGCTGCCTGCTGCAACCACAGCTGCCCCGACAACAACCACAGCTGCCCCGACTACAACCACAGCTGCCCCTACAACAACCACAGCTGCCCCAACTACAACCACAACTGCCCCTACAACAACCACAGCTGCCCCTACAACAACCACAGCTGCCCCAACTACAACCACAGCTGCCCCGACTACAACCACAGCTGCCCCAACTACAACCACACTGCCCCTACAACAACCACAGCTGCCCCAACTACAACCACAACTGCCCCTACAACAACCACAGCTGCCCCAACTACAACCACAGCTGCCCGACTACAACCACAGCTGCCCCTACTACAACCACAGCTGCCCCGACTACAACCACAGCTGCCCCTACAACAACCACAGCTGCCCCTACAACAACCACAGCTGCCCCAACAACCACAACTGCCCCTACAACAACCACAGCTGCCCCAACTACAACCACACTGCCCCTACAACAACCACAGCTGCCCCTACAACAACCACAGCTGCCCCACTACAACCACAACTGCCCCTACAACAACCACAGCTGCCCAACTTCAACCACAGCTGCCCCGACTACAACCACAGCTGCCCCTACAACAACCACAGCTGCCCCGACTACAACCACAGCTGCCCCTACTACAACCACAGCTGCCCCTACAACAACCACAGCTGCCCCAACAACAACCACACTGCCCTACAACAACCACAGCTGCCCCAACTACAACCACAACTGCCCTACAACAACCACAGCTGCCCCGACTACAACCACAGCTGCCCCTACAACAACCACAGCTGCCCCAACTACAACCACAACTGCCCCACAACAACCACAGCTGCCCCTACAACAACCACAGCTGCCCGACTACAACCACAGCTGCCCCTACTACAACCACAGCTGCCCCTACAACAACCACAGCTGCCCCTACAACAACCACAGCTGCCCCTACAACAACCACAGCTGCCACTACAACAACCACAGCTGCCCCGACTACAACCACAGCTGCCCCGACTACAACCACAGCTGCCCCTACAACAACCACAGCTGCCCCAACTACAACCACAACTGCCCCTACAACAACCACAGCTGCCCCTACAACAACCACAGCTGCCCCAACTACAACCACAGCTGCCCCGACTACAACCACAGCTGCCCAACTACAACCACAACTGCCCCAAACAACCACAGCTGCCCGACTACAACCACAGCTGCCCCAACAACAACCACAGCTGCCCCTACAACAACCACAGCTGCCCCAACAACAACCACAACTGCCCCTACAACAACCACAGCTGCCCCAACTACAACCACAACTGCTCCTACAACAACCACAGCTGCCCCTACAACAACCACAGCATCAGGCTCTGTAGTGTGTTCAGGGCCAATTATTGTCCCCGACCCCAATGATCCACAATGTTTCTTCCTCTGTGACTCTTTTGATAATGGTATTCAAATATGTTGCTCTGGTACTTCGGTCTATAAAGACTCCTGTGAGTGCTGTGTTTAGTCCCTGAAGGGTTTTACATGAATTAAGTCAACACACATATATGGGTTGACCTTTTAAAAATGATTTCTGTGTAAAATATCTTTGTTGAATATAAAGAAAAATGCTCAAAATTGGTAATTCATGCCTTTTGTAAGGCTTTGGTGATCTGTACTTTATTAAATATTTCGAAAAGATTCAATCGATTTTGTTTCTTCCTTTTTGTTGACAAGCAAACAAACGTGATAACATTCAATTTTTTTAGCACTATGGCATCATTTTGAAACCATGTGTTCACTTGAAGAGTGGTTACGCTCTTCCATTCATGTCTCTCAATACATAGCATAATATTTATATTACTTTATTCAGAAACACATGACTATATGTGTGTATCTCAACCAGTTAGGTGTGTATATTCTCTCTTTTCACTGCAATTATTTATTTTGACAATAAATTATAATAATAATAATATGTCTGTTGCATCAGTTCTCCATTGTTGTTTCATACTTTAGTTGATGGGTGTGTTCTTTTTTGTATTTATATGCAGTCAGTGCATTTGCCATTATGCAACACAGAAGTTTTATATTGCATATTTATATGGTGTACATCTACATCAAAATACATGCTATTAAATTTTGATGAATCACATCTATAATTAAAAAGAAATTGTTTAAAGAAATTCTGTGTAGTGACATTTTAAATACAGAAAAAAGAATCAACATCAAAATCAATAAGCAAAATGTACGGTACACAGATTCCCACTTTTAGGTCGTGTACAAATAGCAACAAGTTCTAGGACATTTGTAAAAGGTCAACTAGACTTTTTCCTTTACATCACTCAATGCAACACATCATATTTGATGGTATTAATTGCCAGTATGGCCCTAACTATTCTTGAACTGCAGTCCAAAACTACAGCAAAAGATTTTTCAACACAGTAGAGTCAGTCAATTATTCATGACTACCAGAAAGGCACAGGAAACGAAGGCAGGGATTAGTAAGAGAAACAAATACTAATGAAACCAGTTCTTAGAATATTATAATATAACATGAAACAGCCTGTGTTTCCACACAGTATTATAATTCGAACACAGCGGGCACCGTGAATTATGCATGATTAAGTACGAGTTTTAAAGAAAGGCTTAGCTGTTTGATATAGATGTTAAATTGTTCCAGCACAGACATGTGGCCATATCTAGAAATTTTCATCTCACATTGGACCCTGATTGAAACATTTGGGCTGTTTTCCTTTTCCATGCATGACTCTTATAGGTCAGATTGAAAATAAAGAAATCCCATTCAACCTTCAGAGTGACCAAAACATTTTTCTATCAAATTGGTGATGCTAAGCAATAGTAGTGTGCAGGATTTTCTTCTTTGCAATGTGACATTTTGAAGTCCTATGTTCCTACTTCATGAGATAGTTGGATGTGGAACATCTCTGTTAAAACTATTGTTATAGGTAAAATAGTTACAGAAACGGCAGCTCATACAGAAAAATGTACTAAAGGGTTGTAATTTGTTGGCTGGATTAACTTTCTGTAAAGAATAAGAATACAAAATGGAAATGTTAGTTTAATACCCACAGTATCCATAGCAAGGAAAAATCCTATGACTATTAGTTCCCTCATAATTATAGAGTGCTATGACTCCAAAGGCATATGGTATTCTCAGGATAATGATTGTTAATTAGTGCAGTGGAAATGTCAATTGAGAAAAGACCAAATCATTAAATTACCGTTACCATTTAAATTACCATCTATTATGAAATGCATTGCCTACACCAGTTTTGAACTGTATTATGCTTGACAGATACTGTGGAATCGTTTCACTAATATGTCAGCTAACAGGACCAATAAGATGGTTTTTCTTTGGAGTAAACTGTCAAATTTTCCCTGGGCGACAGATCTTCACCCTGTCTTTGAAGATGCTGAATTACGGCAGATTCAAAAACATCCCAAAGGAACACAGACTGTGTGAACTATGTGATTAGAAGAAGTTGAGAAGGAATCTTGTTTTCTTTTGTAATGTCTTTTTTATGTCCTTTGATTAATGAAATGTAAGCTCAAAATCCTTCAATGTTTTGGAGCTCTGATGATAACAGGGTGGAGATGTTATTTCATTTCATGTTCATGAGCTGGCCACGATTGTCTCTGAAGCCTGGAAGAAATGTCAGGATGGTTTGTTTTGTTATAACTATTAAGTGTCACCTTTTGGTCAGTAGTCTGTAGTGTGTTTTGGGCTGGGCATATTTTTTGATACGATAATAAAATCAAATCATCAATCATCCTCTTCGTCTTCAAATAAAACAGATATTTGAATGTTAATGTTTTGTTGTTTGTCAGATGTACTCAGAATAACAATGAACAGGAATATTTTAATTGATGTGAAAAGGACACAGGGTGTGACCTATGTCTACAAACAGAATGGATCATAGACTGCATAAAAAAATGTAGCGGCGTCACTGTGACATGCATGGAGAAGGAGGTTTCTCTCTCTTACAAACTACGCCATCTGCTGTTGTATTACAGCAAACGTGCTGAACAAAGTTAAATACTTTGCATTATGTATCTCTTTGTCAAACTTTTGTGGTCAGTTCCATCAAGGCTCTCACTAAACTACTGAACACACAATGCTAAAGTTTAGGGGGTGTAAGCACATAAAATAAGGTTAGTTGGAAGAGAGATGTTTAAAACATTATTTTAAAACCTAGGTGTGAAAACAAGACCTATGAGGTTTATATCTTAAATACTGAATATCAATAACACAAGCCAAGTTTCTTCAAACATTTTACACTAAAAAAGTCTATAATAATAATTCAAAATAAAGTTTCTATATTTCAAACAAAAAGAAAAACAAGTTTCACTAGTTTCTGGTCAATAATTGGTCTACTGTAAGCTTTGTCCCTGTCTCTAAAGCTACCCACACTTTAAAGCTTTTACTTTAAGGCCAATTAATAATCAAATAAAGCAGAAAGAGACAGAGAGTACCTTTATCTCCAAAGCACTTGTGTTATTGTTTAACGTTTGGCCACATGTTCATTTAATATGTTTTGTCTGACAATTCTTGAAAGCTTCTGCATTACGTCCAAAAGTATTAAATGTGTCAAACAAGAAGGGTTTACCTGTCCTTGATGGTTGAAATAAGGAGAATAGGGAGAGAAGATCCTGCTTCAGATAATGATCTAAAACTGTGTACCAATCTGATTTAAGCCTCTTCTCGCAGTGATTTAAGATAGATGCTTGACTTGTAATTGTAGGCTGTTGGAACATTTGAACACTTCAGTCATATACTTAAATAAGACACTCAAGTAACACTTTATAATAACCTTACTTAAAAAAATATATTTGTAATGCTATAATTTATATTATGTTAACAGTTTATTGTTTCACACATTACCACAATTTATACACTTTATAAAGTGTTTGTTAATAATTACCCAAGGATTTGTAAACCGTCTTTTAACATTATTTGGATGGCTATTATAAAGTTGGAACTCAAGATTATAATAACACCTTATTAATACTTTGTAAAGCATCTACAAACTTGTATTAGACAGATAATTAATACTTCATCAATGGTTTATAGTTGATTTGTAAACCATCTACAATCATCATCTGGATGGTTATTGTAAAGTTGGAACTGATGTTTATAATACTTCGTTTTTTTATTGCCAAGTACATTTACACATACAAGGTGTATGTAAGGTCTCTGTATTGTGGTGCAAAAACAGTTAACAAGAGAAATAAAGCAAAAATAGCAAGAATAGCACAAAATATAAGGAGTAATTACAAATATATAACAGAATATATAAAAACACAAAATGTACAAAAAGTGCAGAATTAAAAGTCCAGTGAGCGCTGCTGTAACACATAAAAGCAGATTCAGCCTTCACATTACTGTGATGCTGTCTTACTGTGGGGCTTGATGAGAGTCTGGGTTATGTGAGGGGAGGGCAGTGACATTGTTCCACAGGCAAGAAACTGCTCTTGTGGCGAGAGGTTTTTGTCCTGATGGACCGCAGCCTCTTGCCAGAGGGGAGGGTCTCAAACAGTCCATGTCCGGGGTGAGAGGGGTGGACCACAATCTTACCTGAGTGCCTCAGGGTCCTGGAGGTGTACAGGTCATGGACAGATGGTAGATTACATCAAATCCCCTTCTCTGCAGAGCGGATGATACCAGACTGTGATGGTTAATAAATACAGTGTAGAGCATCTATTAACATTATTTGGGTGGTAATACTAAAGTTGGAACAACATACTATAATCGTCAGTTGCAACTTTGCAATAGCCATCCAAATAATGTTAATAGATGCTTTGCAAAATATTTATTAACCATTAACAAAGTGTTACAAATATCAGGTCCATGTTATCTATGTAATGTTCATAGATGTTTTATAAACCATCTTTTAAAGGTTTACTAATCCTTTGGTAATCATTAACACACACTTTATATAGTGTGTAACATTACTGGTTGTAAGTCAACATTCAAATTGGGATTTAAGTGTGGCTTTTTGGTACTGGTGGTGGGTAAAAAGATGTCCTTGCAGAAGAAATTGCTCAGGAGGCAGAAATAGTTGCAAAAATAAGGTGGTTGATTTATTAACCAAAAATTGCACAAAAGAGCCAAAAACAACCTAATAAAACAACCAGACTAAATAAACTGAAAGAAAACACAGCCTCAAAGCAAGCTGCCACAAACAACAATTTTTTCCCCACAGACTCTGGCTGAGTCTGCGTTCATGCTCCTCTTGACTCCGCCCTGATTGGAGCAAACCATTTCAGGCACAAAGTGAAGTGAAAGATCAAAATTCCCACTAAAACAATAATACATCATTTAACAGCTAAATAACATGATAATATTCAAGATTCAAGTCAGAATCTAAAGCACACTATAAATTTACAACCGTAAACAGAAACTTGTTTTAGTTAACCTTTTTAAGTACAAACAAGAAAGACATCGCAAACTGAAGGCTCCACTCTGTCCAATTCGGCACAGGTGACCTCACTCAGGCTTATCACTCTGCAGTAAGTGTATGGAAGGTGGGGGCAGGTTAAAAGGTATGGCAGAACCTTTTCACATAGCGTATAAAATGTTATGTGTGCAACAATAACTGTTAATATAACATAAATTATACAAAGCAAAACAAACAATTATCAAACATTATTAATTATCTTTGTGTGTTAACAGTAAAATAACTATTGACTTAAGTTTAATTAACTATCAGTTTACCCTTAATTGATGATGGTTATTATAAAGTGTTAACCAAACTCAAAAAGTTCATCTTTTTCACAGTGTGTAGAAAATCTTCTGAAGACAATCTTTATTCTTCATCGTTCAGATTCAGCACGCTGGTATAAACAGCAACCACCACATTATGGAGAAGACTTTTAGAGTTTCTTATGAGTAGCAAAAAAATATTTGCATGTCATTCCTTCTAAGATAGGTACCATTACTTTCAAAAATTTAAATGCGCAAAAAGATTCATCAGTAAGTTTATGAAATTGTAACATTATTATTTCACTGTCAAAAATCATCTCAGGCAGTCAGCTGCTGATCGTGTTCACAACTTCAAAGGATTTCAATCATTTCATTAATTGAGGTCATTTCAAAGCACAACTCAGAGCAAATACTGTATGTCATCAAATTATTAAATGTTGTTAACAATAGAGCCTTAACTAAGTAGAGAATGTTACTTTCTGGCTCTTGAATTCAATATTTTTTTTATTTACATTTTGATAAAAATGAACAAACACATCCTGACAGGTGGTGTTGAAATTATTTGAAATGACAATAATGAAGGCTTTTCCAGAATCAGTTGTTTGAGGTGTTACCCATATTGTCCCATTCTTTAGAGTTCATGGACTGAGCCGTGAGGCTCAGGGAGCTTTTGAATGTCAAAGTTTTCAATAAGAATGAAGTGAAATACGACAAGCTCTTTGTAGTTCTTTTTGGAAATTATTTCATTGATGCCATGGAATCTATGAAAAAGATCTTTTAAGGTCTTTTAAAAAGTGAATGTTCATTTTCTAAATTCAATTCCCTCTTTTTGTTTTTGCAGGAAAGCAGCTTATTCCTCACAAAAGCTAAGGGATTAACTGGGCAAAAGTTTGCTTCTATACAGAGACACGTGGTGTTTTGGGGTTCCCCTTACATAGTTAAATTAATCTATAGTTTAATTTATAAAGACAAATTTGTAATGTTCATATATCCATTTTATGAAATTATGAGGTATAACAACAACTTAAAGGGCTTGTAATAAAATACTTATGAGGTTACAGACTGCTGTTTGGGATGGTGTTGTACTGGACAGTTACATTGAAAGGGGTTTTCTAAATGATTTGCTACTATGAGAAACATAATAACTGGACTCAAAAATAAAAACATTCAATGTTTTACAGTCCATTACAAAATGGGGGGGATGTCCGGGTGGTCTAGGATTTGCAGATACTGACCATTTAATCACAACATTACAAGAATGAGACCAGACACAGACCTTTGTTAGAGGAAAAGGACCACAGAATGATTACAACACTATTGTATCATCTTCAGCGAGTGGTTTAACCTTCTTGGTCATTCTTAGCAGATATCAAAGAATAAACTTGTAGCACACAATCTGATAAGGTTTAATTGATAAAAAAAAAAGCTAATCACACAGTTTGAGTGATCTGGTTGGTTTTCTATTGGATATTAATACTGATGACTGAAGGGTTCTTATTCTCCCCTAGAAGACAAAAGCTCCTTAAAAAGTGATACTTGAAAATTGAAAGGGCTTGGAATCTCAGGTGATTTCACCCAGCTTCCATGATGCTTAACAATTAGACAATAACACTTTAGATAATGTAATAGTGCATTATTTATCCCCACCCCCTCTGTTTTTCCACACCTTGTGAGCTGCCTACCTGTATTAAAACTCCACAGCCATCAGTCATCAGTCAGTCACAGTAGAAGAACAGTACATGCTTCTTTCAACATTATTTCTGTGAGTATTCCTTTAACTTTGCATTTATAAAACTAAATATTCTGTTTTAAAAAGTTAGTTAAAGATAAATTGCAACAACTGCTTTGTCTCTCCAACTAGCTCACAAGCTTAACTGGACACATTTTAGCCAGAGAGAGTACAACAAGGTGGCATTTCACTGGCTGTTTCTCTTCTAATTTGGATTTAGCTGATAAAAACATTTGTTTAAATATTGTTAGGATTTGAAGCATTAAAGTTGTGTTTTAAGTCAGACAAAGGCAATTCATGTGCCAACTTTGTACCATTTAAGTCAAATCAGACCTGACCTGATTTTCAGTGGGATAAAAAACATAAAAGTAAGCTTATATCAAAGCAAATGCTTCACTAGCAACACAGATATGTAACTAGCAATGAAGTTAATTAAAAGTTAAGAGAAGAAGTTAGCTGAAAATGCTTGCCAAACTAGTCCATCTCCTGTGTCTTCCAGCTCAAACGTGTATTTACGGAAAACTTGTTGGAACAAGACTTTGGGTGGCTACTGGGCATCATTCCCTTTCCACTCCCTAAACGTTTCCATTGAACAGGTGCTTAGTTTTGATTATTCTACTGGCTTTTGTCACCAAATGTTGCGACTAAGTAAAAGTTTAACCTACCTGTAAAATGATCTGTGTGCCTCGAGTTGGGAACAGCACTAGTAAGATTGTCTTTTATTTGTTGTGTTTTTATTTTCATGCTTATGGTTATTTGGATCAAATTTATTTTGTGGAAACACACATTCATCTCTAATTATAAATTCTACATTTATTTAAATGAATATATTTTTTCAACTGCATATTCATTCTTTTTTTCTGTTTCAATTTATTCACATAGCAACAAAATGTGGAAGCTAACTCTATCTGCAGGTAAGACATCCTGGTCAAGTATAAGTGTCTTTGAATGTTTGATTCAACTACATCTCCAAAAGTGTTAAGTGTACATGTGTATTGTCTCATGCAGGTAGTTTCTGTTAGGTATCCCCAAGTTATTTTCACTGAGAGGAATTTGTATTCATTTTACCTCCAATGTACTGAGAAATATCAGAAATGTCAGAAAGCTTGAATTAATTAACTTGAAACAGTAAACTAGAACTTTTACCTGTAATGCATGAATTATTATGTCAGAAAGCCTGTTTGTATTGGTTGTTTTTTTTATTTTATTAACCTGTATACTAACACATGTGTCCTTTTGAAGGTCTCTGTTTGATCCTTGCCAGCTTGGGTAAGTTCATCACACAAATTGATCACAATCATCACCTTTATAGCTGCATAGGACGATTTTTGTAGAAGAAATATAATATCTTTAAGTAAACAGATGTTAATGTTAATAAGGACATTGAAACGTTTGATCTATACAATAAATAATTAAAATAATCATGATTTTTCTTTCATGTCTATAGCTTCTACCTCCAGGCTGATGTGTTACTATAACAGCAAGGCACAAAACAGACCAAATGTCGGGAAGTTCAGAGTTTCAGATATTGATCCAGACAAGTGCACCCATCTGATTTTTGCCTTTTCTGACATAATTGAAAATGAGCTGGTTCCCACAACTGTAAACGATGTTCAGCAGTACGTGGAGTTTAACGCACTCAAACAAAGGTCAGTCCTTAGGTCTATAAATACTGTGGAGATTACATTGTAATACAAGGTATTTGTTTTGCAAAAAAAAAAATCATCATTTAAATGTTATGCTCCTGTAGAAATCCACTTCTGAAAACCCTGTTGGCTGTTGGTGGAGAGAAGTTTGGGACAGAAAAGTAAGTTACCTTCAAGGACATTTAAGGCTTGTTTGGAAGGACACATATTACTAACAAACTGTTGTAATCCTCTGACGTCCAAATTGGCCTTGCCTTTTGTTGTACTGTTTCAGCACTTTGTGCAAAAACAAGCAAATTCACATTCGTTTTTAAGAGTTGGGAACTCTTGTTTTTTGCTCTAAATTCATTAAAATTGAATGCAACCCAGCTGACCTCTACAGCCAAATAATGAAAAAATGAAGTTTGAAATTCACTGAATCTTGTGCAATATGTATTTTAGACACTCAGGTCAGTGACTGCACATTATAATTATGGGGATTATTTTGCCACTTTTGTTGGCATCATTTATTATATATAGGCTATGGAAAGCATGGCTGATAACACATTGCATCCACACTAAATATTGGTTTACACCTTATCTCATGTTTTGATTGCCTTCATTGAATAGCTGGAGTGTGAGTCTAAAGACCAAGTTGTGTTTATATTTTTATTTTTGTATGCTTAACAGATTCAGGACAATGGCGGGATCACAAGAGAACAGAGAAGTGTTCATCCAGTCTGTAATCAAACTACTCAGAGCATTCAATTTTGATGGGCTAGATGTAGACTGGAGGTACCCAGCTGAAGAGGACAAGCAGAGATTCACAGAGCTTTGCAAGGTCAGATCTTTAATATCTCCTCTGGAATTGGTATTTTCAGAAAAAAGCCATACTGCAAATGCCATGCATGTCGTCTTCTTAATGTCTTCTCTTACTGGTTTTACTATTTGTATCTTCTTCTACTTCTTACTGTCTTTTATTTATGGTCTTATCTCGTATTTATGCTCATATCTTAATCTCCTCTTGTGTTTTAACTTGGTAATTTCTTATCTTACTTACTTTGTCTATTTATGTTTCGTATTTATAGTTAATTTTTATTTTTATTAATATTATAGTTTTGGGTTTTTTGATCCTTTAACCACTTGTTTTTATTTCCTTTACTGCGCTTACCTTCTCATTGCTTTTTATTTGCTTTTATCTCTTAGTTTCTTACATCTTTTTAAATCTTTGGTCCTCTTGGTCTCAGCTCATGTTGTTGGGTTCTTGTGTTCCTGGGTTCTTATGATGGTTCTTATGATGGTTGGGTTATATATGTCTGGTTGTGTATCGTGCACTTTGGGTTCTTTTCTGTTGAATTGTTTTTAATTATTTTTGGTATTTTGCATCTGTTATATTCTTACTGTTGTTAATGTTTTTCTGTGTTTAGTTTGCTTTGTTCTTGCTGTTTGTCAAAGCACTTTGTAAACGTGTGTTTTTAAAAGGTGCTATATAAATAAAGTTATTATTATTATTATTAAAATGTATGTAACTGAGACTGAGAACCATGCTTCTGTGTTGTACAGGAGCTGGAAACAGCCTTTGTCGATGAAGGAACTTCAAGTAACCAGGAAAGATTAATCCTTGCAGCATCTGTCTCTGCTGAGAGGTCAACCATCGATGCTGGCTATGAAGTGGAAGAAATTGCCAAGTAAAATAATATTTAAGAAATCTCTGCCATAATGACAATAAAAAGCTGCTGTTCTGTTTTAGTAAAGGTAATTCCCTCTTAATTTATCAGGCACCTGGATTTCATCAACGTGTTGACGTTTGACTTCCACGGCCCCTGGGAAAGTGTGACAGCACATCACAGCCCCTTATTCCAGGGATCCCAAGACACTGGAGATGCGATCTACTCTAACACTGTAAGCAAGGGTTTATTTTTTCATACAGCTATGTTTCCAAACATGTACCTGTATCCCATTTGTTTTGATCATTGGTCTTCCCTTCTTAGGCCTCTGCCTTAGAATACTGGCGGGACCAGGGAGCACCTGAAGAAAAACTGAACATGGGGTTTGGAGCTTTTGGACGAGCTTTTTACCTGTCCTCTAATTCAAGCGCTGTCGGTGCACCAGCCAGTGGTCTTGGTGAGGAAGGCTGCTACACTGGTGAAGAAGGATTCTGGGCCTCTTATGAGGTATTACTGCACGGTTTCAATATTACCCATTTATATTGATGGCTTTATTATTAGCTAACAGTTTTGGCTGTATTTTGTCTGCCAGATATATATCCTTGTAATTATAATTACTTTTATTAGATCTAAATACCAAATCTGACCCTTCTTTTCAGACTTGCCTTTATCTAGATGGGGTACAAACCCATCTTATTTCTGATCAGAAAGTTCCATATGCCACAACAGAAAATCAGTGGGTTGGATTTGACGACACAATCAGTATAAGTACCAAGGTAATCATCTTTTTTTAACACAGTATTACTTTTTAGTGACTGCAAATGACTGATGTGACTGATGTACAAAATT